GAAAAGCCCAGACTTTACTCAACCAAATTAAAAATATTATTGATAGAAGACGAGGAGACACGGTCCACACGGCATGGTTTAGTCCTGTTAAACCCTGTTTGAGACATAGTTTAGACCTGGTTTTAGTCCTGGTTTAGACCTGGTTTAGACCTGGTTTAGTCCTGGTTTAGTCCTAGTTTAGACTGAGTTTAGTCCTAGTTTAGACCTGGTTTTAGACCTGGTTTAGACCTGGGGTTAGACCTGGTTTAGACCTGATTGAGTGTCTGGCAATGAGTGGAATTACCGAAAAAATCAAACAAACAAACAAAAACCAAAAAAAAAAAAACAACCTCTGTGTAATCCATTTATTTCAATAAAGTAACTGTAATCCAATTACAACTCACTGAAATGGTAACTGTAACCGAATACAGTTACTCATAATTTGTACTCTGATTACATAAGTCTGGTACATGTAATCTGTTACTCCCCACCACTGCCGTCGAGTGAATGAATCCTAATGCGGTTTCCACAAAGTGACACCGTCTGATGAATCAGACTACCTCTGTCTACAAGTTATTAAAACTATATTAGCCTCTCTGTGCAACAAACCAAATTCCATGTTTAACGAACCGCTCTGGAACACTGATACTAATAAAATAAAAATAAAAATATACCCCATAAAATATTCAATAGGCCTATAATCTATAAAAGGGGTCTGTTCAGTAAACTGTTGATTCACTGGATGGAACATATTCTCAATTAGACACGATCTTAGAGGGGTGCTTTACATTGGCTGCTTTGGGTAATGAATAGGGCTGGTCTTGTTGTCAGTGGATGTGCGGGTGCCATCACTTGTGGCGCTTGTTATCATCTGCATTGGAGCGGCGCGAGGAGCCCAGAGGCGGGGCTGGCGCGCTGCTCGTGAAGGCGGCGCTAAGCGGAGAGAGAAAGAGAGAGAGAGATAGAGGTGAGAACCGGAGAGAGGATCCAACAGTGACCGGGAGGTGGTAATTGAAAGCCGGTATCCCAAAAGAGCAGCGCATACCCGGCTTGCAGTCACCGGAGGAAGCGCCACTGGAACCAGTCCGGCGCTTTCCTCCGCCAAAACGCGCGGACGAGAATTCACAAACCAGAGCGATAAGATCATTTCTACAGACAGATTTTTGGGGTGACTGGAAGAAAGCAGGGTCTTGTTTTTGGTTCATACTGCGCACTAGGTATACGACCACCGGGTGAATTGTTTTGGGGACGCAGGGCGGAGCAGAAGCCGGCTGAAGAGCGCATGATGACGGGTGATTTCTCTCCGCGGTGGTCCCATGTCTCTACGTAAAGGTATGTGGGGAAAAAATGTGGTTTCAAGTTATGATTTCAGCCTGTATTCTGAGTTTCATTCACAAATTAATAGTTGCATTCAAGTCTGACTGCCTGGATGGGGCAAAACAAGCGTAGTGTAGCATATATTACGCTACTAACATGCATATTTTATTTAACCAGCAGTCTTGACACAGAGCAGTGCAGTGAAAATGTCTCTTTTTGTAATTAAAAGTGTTATATGTAGGAATACTGTGAATAAAATATACAAGATTAGTTTAATTAATGTATGTATTGATCTTAAAGGGGCTATATTACACACAATTGACTCATCCTCTTGTGAGCTTTAAGTTATTTTAGAATGTTTTTTTTTTAATCAAAAACAGACCTGGAGTTGTGTTTTGTTTCATTCACACATGTTTGAGTAATCCTTTATTATCAGTCTGTCTACATCTCCGAAGCTCAGAATGCTCTTTTACACCTTGTGACATCACAAAGCAGTAGTTGACAAGTTTACACCTGCATTTTACCTTTTAGTGCATTAGAGATTAGCAATTCCAGGTCTGAAATCATCTTAATGAGAGTGAAGGAGTTTAAAAACACAGTGGAGCACTTCGAGTATTTCCACATGACATCACAAGGTGGAATAGAGGGGTTTCTGTACAGAGAAAAACTCGGCCTAGGAGTTAAGGTTGTGCAAAAATATTTAAATATCAATATACTGTATTGTTAAATGCAGGGATCTTCAGCCTTTTTCCTTAGGTGAGCTACTTTTACAAAACAAAAATGCCAGAGAGCTACGAGTTTAATGGTCACAAGAAACTGAGTAAATATAAGAGCCATGGCGAGCCTTAGATGAGGTACAGTTAGATGCCTGTAAAACATAAACCTTTATCCATTTAAAAGTGTACGAAGTTAGACATCAGAATGATACATGTACAGTGGTAAAAGGCATTTAATTAATCAAATTTTACTTCTTCAGCACAATATGTGTAATTCAGAAATCCCTTGGCGAGCGACTTGGTTTAATGTGATGATACAGTATTGATATCGTGGGCTGCTGTATTGATATATCGCCAAGAGTATTTTTTGGTATATTTTACTAAATTATTTTGTTACAGTGCTACAGTTTTGTTGCTTGTTTAGTGAAAGGAAACTTGTTTATGCAACACATTTGATATTTTCACTGTTTTGCTGATTAAAATGTTTGTGTTTCATATTTACTTTGCACAAGAAGTGGTTTAACAAAGACTTTTAGTGTCAGAGCCATGACTTAGCCTTTATTTTTTATTGAACTGTATCAAATTGATTTGAAATGTATTGTATTGAATCGAAAGTGCACTGTTTCGAGGTATGTCTCGTATCGTGGTCTATGTATTGAGGTATGTATCGTACCGTGGCCTATGTATCAAGGTATGGGCAATTTCTTAATGATGCCCGGCCTTACTAGGAGTGGTGTGTTAAACATGTGTTAAACAAACAAAACACAATTCCAGGTATATTTGTGATGAGGAAACAACATTCATACACATAACAGGAAATATAGTATAATATGGCCCCCTTAATTTTATTTTGCCGAATGAAAATGAATGTTCCAGTAGCTCCAGTTTTCTGCAGTCATCCCTGAAATCCTGAAGCCACCGTTCTCCAGCAGGACCTTATTTGTCGCTCTGTGAAGGTCCAGGAACACGAGCCCATTATAATGAGTCATTCTCCCAGATAGACCTCATCAGAGAGCACTTTCAAACTATTTGCTCCATTTACACCTTTTCCACAGCTCCCTCGGCTCACACTGTCATTCATAAATATATATCGGCGATTCGGATTCACTACATTTTGTATCTGGATTTTTCAAAGAAGCTGAGTTACGCTATTTTCTGATCTGTGTTATAATCAATCAAAAACATGACAGGAGTGTTTTGTTTTGTTTCATTCACACATGTTTAACACACAAGCCCTGCACATTTAGGATTTGAGAAACACGAAAACACTCTGTTCCACCTTGTGATGTCATGTGGTAATACATGAAGTGCTCTACTATGTTTTTAAACTCCATACACCTTCACTAGAATCATTTGGATAATTTTAGCTCTGCAATGCGTGACAATGCAATGTAACAATATCTGAAATATCATGATATCGCATTGTCAAAGTTCTCACAATAATATCGTGGATCATCACAATATATCGAATTACAAGTCCCTGTGTTTAAATTAAGAGTTATGGTGCAGCAATAGCTAAAAAAAACAGAAGGAACTACATAGACCATGATCCTTTGCTCCATTGCAGTGCAGACTAGTACAAGAAATAACAGTTCTAAGCACTTTTAAGTCTTAGTTCTTTGGATTAAGTCTTGTCAAGGCATTTTAAGAGGAAAAAGTAGCATAGTCACAGTTTTGTCAGCCTCCACAAAATATTGTAATAAATATCTTATCGTGAAGGTGTATATTGTGAAAATGTTGTACCGAGAGATTTGGATATTGTTCCATCCCGAATTGTGAGCCTCCCCACCATATCACAATAAATATCGTACCCTGGGGTTGATACCGTGACAATATCGTATTGTGACACTTGGATATCATTAGACCCCTACATCACATGGTGGAACAGAGCGTTTTAAGCCTTGGAGACAGACCAGGATTATTTAAACATGTGTGACTGAAACAAAACACAACTCCAGGTATGATTTTAATGAGGTAACAGCATTATAACATGGCATAAATCTCACAAGAGTCAATTTTGCGTAATATAGGACCTTTAAAGATGCATTTTCTTTTCTCATGGTGGGTCCATCACCTGCTTATTTCTATGGATATTAAGGGTGTGCAAAATATTTAAATATCGATATATCGTATCGTTTAATGTGATGATACAGTATTTATGTCATGAGCTGCTGTATTGTTATATCACCAAGAGTATTTTTTGGTATGTTTTACAAAATTATTTTGTTACAGCACTGCAGTTTTGTTGCTTGTTTAGAGGAAGGAAACTCATTTATGCAACACATTTGACATTTTCACTGTTTTGATGATTAAAATGTTTGTGTTTCATATTAACTTTGCACAAGAAGTGGTTTAACAAAGACTTTTATTATCACAACCATGATTTAGCTTTAATTTTTATTGAACCATATTGAACATTTTTTAATATATCGTATCAAATCGAAAGTGCACTGCATTTCTTAGCGATATCCAGCCCTAATGGATATGTCATTTCTCTGGAATGTTCCACAGTATGATATGAAACAGCTCTGCCTTTATATTTTTTCAATTAAAGATGGTTTTATAGCTCACAAATACCTGAAAAAATCCCCAAATCTGACCTGTAATTTGGTCTGGTTTGGTCTTCATGAAGATAGAAAGGTTTAATACTGTGAACCATCCCAGACAAAGCAATAACATCTCCACCCGAAAAGTTACACAATGCACCTATAAAATTACATCAAAATCTAATCTTGTGTGAATTCTGTTTTGCTCCATCTCTGATATACAGTATGTCTCTTCTTGTTTACAGTGAATGGCTTCTTTTGTTGATTCGGGGCGCGTGTGTGACTGCCCCCTGTGACCTTGGCTTTCACCATCCGTCGCCACCTGCCCTCCGCCCCCCCGCCCGCCCCCCCATGCCTGCTCCAGCCCCTGATGCTCCGCAGTGTCCCGGGACGCTGCTCGGGAGGTCGCTGGGAGAGGCTAGAGCCCGCCCCGCGCGCTAGCATGCTGCGTCAGGTGCTCCACGCGGGGCTGAGGACCTCCTTCCACGCCCTGGGACGATTCGTGGCCAGTCATCCGGTGTTTTTCGCCTCGGGGCCGGTCCTGCTGGCGATCCTGCTGGGGTCTAGCTTCAGTCGGTACCGGGTGGAGGAGGGCGTGGAGGGGCTGCTGGTGCCCAAGCACAGTTTAGCCAAAATCGAGGGGAATCTGGTGGAGAGTTTGTTTCCGATCAACAGGTCCAAACATGCGCTGTACTCGGATCTGCAGACGCCGGGGAGGTACGGGCGCGTCATCATCACCACGAAGAAGGGCAGTGTGCTGGACCCTCTGCACATGGACGCCATACTCGAGGTAAACACTCGCTCCTTCTGATTACACTTTATTATAACTACTTTTTAATTAAGCATGAACAAATACTGAATTCATAATGAACACATGATTTATTAAGAAAGATTCAGGCTCAGTAGCTAATCAATTAATACAATTTTTTCCATGATGTCTTTGTTAATGTTTTATTATATCTACAGAAAGTTGTAAATTTCTGTTTGCTAGATATTCAGATTTATTCAAGAATATATATTTCAAAATATATTTGAGGTAAAGACGGGTTGGTTACGGGAAGTTAGACAAAATATTACAAAAATATGTTTTATTGAAGAAGTATGCCACTTTTTTGTCTTCATATAGAGGTGTTATTGCCTGGTCAAGGTTTATCACTTGTAGATCTACTACAGTTCTCATCTTAGTCCAGTCCTAGTCTAGTCTGAGTCTTATCCAGTCCTAGTCTAGTCTTACTCCAGCCCTGTTTAGTTCTAGTCTAGCCCTAGTCCAATCTTAGTCCCACTCCAGCTCTACTCTAGTCCCAGTCTAGTCCTAGTGTAGTCCTAGTTAAGTCCTAGTCTAGTCCTAGTTGTATTCTCGCCCTACTCTAGTCCTAGTCCAGTCCTAGTCTAGTCCTAATCTAGTCGTAGCCCTACTTTAGTCCAAGTCTAGTCCTAGTCCAATCCTAGTCTAGTCCTAGTCTAGTCCTAGTCGTATACTCGCCCTACTCTAGTCCTAGTCCAATCGTAGTCTAGTCCTAGTCTTATTCTAGTCCTATTGTATTCCTAGTCTAGTCCTATTCTAGTACTTGTGTAGTCATAGTGTAGTCCTAGTCCAGTCTTCGTCTAGTTCTGGTCTAGTCCTAATGTAGTCCTACTGTAGTCCTACTGTAGTCCTAGTCTAGTCCTAGTCCAGTCCTTGTCTAGTCCTATTCTAGTCCTTGTGTAGTTCTAGTCTAGTCCTAGTCCAATCCTAGTGTAGTCCTAGTGTAGTCCTTGCCCTAGTCCAGCCCTAGTCCAGTCCTTGTCCAATCCTATTCTAGTCCTATTCTAGTCCTAGTCCAGTCCTAGTCCAGTCCTTGTGTAGTCCTATTCTAGTCCTAGTCCAGTGTTAGTCCAGTCCTAATCTAGTCCTAATACAGTTTTAATCCAGTTTTAATCCAGTCCCAGACCAGTCCTAGTCTACATCTTTGGTAAATCATGTTTTCAAAAAAGAGATGAGCCTTTAAAAGTCTTGGACGTGCACTGCGGTCTGCACTTATCTCAAAATAACAGACTTTCACATAAATATCGTGCGACTTTTCCCTTTTAAAGAAAACCAAGAAAACAAATAATGACTTTTTTTTTCCCTTTTACAACAAATGTTTCACCAAATTACCTCTAAATTGATTCAATTGTGTTATGATTCACCCAGTATATGAAAACAAAAACACTATGAAGTTACGATTATGTTTTGTCTATTGTGCGTGTCTACCCTGGAGCTATAATGTGCATCTTCTCTGTTGTTTTCTCGAAATAAACAGCAGCTAATCAGTATTCTAGGTTTCTGAGCCCCAAAAACTATTAGCATATAAAGAGAAATTATTTAAGATTTGCCGGTCTATTTTTGTATTCTCTGTCTTGTTAGCCGAGGAGTGTGACTTTTTCCCTCAGACCTCAGATAATCACTAATTAAAGGTGCGGCGTTGTAAGTGTGGACTAACTTTGCTGATTGAGGAAAAAAGCATTTCGTGTTCTTCTTTGATTTCCCTGTAGAGAAGTTTTGTCAACAAACCCTCCAGAAGCAAAATGAGCCATCCCTAGACAGCAGTGCTCGAGCAGGTACAAGAGTCAACGATGTAAAACTTTATTACAAGCTTCGTTAAAAAGCTGTGTAAGCATCTATAGGCCCGGCGGTCACAATAATCGCTATAACAACAACTCTATCGTCCTATAAATGAAAGGAAGAGTTTTCATGTTTATGGAAAGTTGTATGCTACATTTTGAGTAACTTTTTCTATTTTTTTTCTTGATATTCTAATTTTGTATATCTCCAAAGCAGCAATTGTTATTTTATCTATGTTTATATATCTCCCTCTAATAGCATCTTATAATTTAAAGGTACACTGTGTAACTTTTGGTTGGGGGTCTGTCACTTGCTTGTTTCTATGGATATGTCATTGATCTACCTTACATTTATTCATCCTATTCTAGTCCTACTCTAGTCCTAGTACAAATCCAGTCCTAGTCTAGTCCTAGTCTAGTCCTACCCTACTCCTAGTCCAAGTCCAGTCCTATTCTAGTCCTAGTCTAGTCCTAGCCTTATTCTAGTCCTAGTCTAGTCCTACCCTACTCCTAGTCCAAGTCCAGTCCTATTGTAGTCCTAGTCTAGTCCTAGCCTTATTCTAGTCCTAGTCCTAGTCCAGTTCTAGTCTAGTTCTACTCCAGTCCTATTCTAGTCCCAGTCTACTCCTACTCTAGTCCTAGTCTAAATCCAGTCCTATTCTAGTCCAAGTCTAGTCCTACCCTACTCCTAATTCAAGTCCAGTCCTATTCTAGTCCTAATCTAGTCCTAGCCTTATTCTAGTCCTAGTCCTAGTCCAGTCCTAGTCTAGTTCTACTCCAGTCCTATTCTAGTCCTAGTGTAATCCTATTCTAAATCCAGTCCTATTCTAGTCCAAGTCTAGTCCTAGTGTAATCCTATTCTAGTCCTAATCTAGTCCTAGTCTAGTCCTAGTGTAATCCTATTCTAGTCCTAATCTAGTCCTAGTCTAGTCCTAGTGTAATCCTATTCTAGTCCTAATCTAGTCCTAGTCTAGTCCTAGCCTTATTCTAGTTCTAGTCCAGTCCTAGTCTAGTCCTAGTCCAAGTCCAGTCCTATTCTAGTCCAAGTCTTTATGTTTATTAGTTTTTATTTTTCTGTTTAAATAGTTGTATATATGGGGGGTATTGACATTTTTCTGTTGCATGTGAAGCACTTTGTGCTACATTTCAAATGTATGAAAAGTGCTATACAAATAAAGATTGATTGATTGATTGAAGTCTAGTCCTAGTGTAATCCTATTCTCCTAATCTAGTCCTAGTCTAGTCCTAGTCTAGTCCTAGTCCAAATCCAGTCCTATTCTAGTCCTATTCTAGTCCTAGTCTAGTCCTGGTACTTTTCCATGGAGAAAAGTAAAGAAAAAGAAAAAGACATTATTTTTTGCAGCAAATTTTGACAACTGCTGTTATTGTAACTTGAATAGCAGTCTTTTTTGATGTGATACAGACTATAGCTGTATTAAAGCTTCTGGCTCAGTCAAACCTGCTCCAAATGCAACATGTTGAATGATCGACGTTATTGTCCTGTATCTGTGTGTCTCTGCTCCATATCAGCTTTGAAATTTTTAAAGAGTATATTGAGAGAAGAGTTTACTGCAAGTGGCATTTTCAGAAACCACCATCAATATTTCAAAAAATTGTGACTGACAGGCCAATACGCACCTCACTGCACTTTAGCAACCAGGAGATTTGCTTTGCACAGGCCTGTCACAATCACATCTTCTGAAGTGTGATGTATTGTTGAAGAAAACAAACAAAAACGATAAAACTGAAACTAATCTATTCTACTGTTCCAACTATGGTTTACTGAATAAGTCGAATTTATAAGTATTTTTCGTGACAGGCCTAGTCTTACATGTAGCCCAACAGTTGAGAACAGTTGAAACCAGAGGGGAAAAATGTAGTACTCCAACTACAATTTTAGTAAATCATGATCCTGGTGGATATTCACTTTTCAGCACAGAAAATGGAAGTGCAGTTTCATTTCTGTTCGTCTGAATTGTTGGCTCTGTGAGACTCTGTGAGGCTCTGGGAGCCTCTGGGAACATGAACAAATATGATGTATTTTCCAGCCAGAAGCCTCATCACAGCGCAATCTCAAACTGTCCTATTTTGTTCAGCTGGAAAGTAACATTTTTCAGATTGGACGAGGATTTTGGGGGGAACGAAGCCTCTAGCTGGAGTGATGGGTCTTACTTCAACTTTCTTTTTTTATTCTCTCAGGAAAATTATACATCAGTTAGATAAACACATTTCATGTCTTCAGCCCTTTTTGCAACTTTTTTCTTATGTGCTAATCTGAATTTGCCTGGGATCCTGAACACACACTTCTTCTATTCAACTTATTCAAGAAGATGCCGTGGGCGCTGCCATCGTCTTTGGGGTTGTATTCGTTTGCTTGGGGCAGCCGATTTCACAAAGACTTTTAAAGTCTCCCAGAGAATCGGTCCAGTGTTGATTTTTTGGACACAGAAAAACTCTGCATTTTACACAAAGAAACCCAAATTCGCCATTGAAATGAATGGGATTCTTGCTTAAAGGTCCCATATGACACAGAATGGATTCTTGTGAGTTCAGTCATGTTATTGTCATGTTGTTTCCTCATCAAAAACTCTAATTTCTAACATAAAACATGTGGCAGAAGTGCTCCACTGTGTTTTTAATGCATTTTTAAACTCCATACACCTTGACTAAAATCATTTGGATAATTTCAGCCCTGGAATTTCTATTTTCTCCAATCTGAACAAAAGGTATAAAGGTGGCTGTTAACTTGAAAAGTACCACACCTCATGACATCACAAGGTGGAACAGAGCATTTTGATCTTTGGTGATGTAGACAGACTAATAATGAAGGATTACTCAAACATGTGAATGAAACAAAACACAACTCCAGGTCTGTTTTTGATGAGGTAACAACATTATAACATGGCTTAAAGCTCACGAGAGTCAATTTTAGGTAATATCAGACCTTTAAGCTCAGTACTTTAACAATAAAATATTTATAGTGTTTAACTAAATAGACAGTGAAGGACAAATGGGCTGCTATAATCATTCATAAGCAAACGGGAAGGCGTCAAAAAATGAAGTTCTTTTCTGATTAATTGCAAAATAAAACGTGTATTTATTACTAATGCCCCATCACTGGACCTTTCTCATTACAAAGCACATTTTAATCATATTGGATTTTGCTGAATCTGCAGCCTGTTTGTATTCATAAACCGACTGCCCCGT